CATGAATAGAGCTTATTTTCAGGGGATGTCATATTTTTTTCAGGTACAACAGTCTACATTTATTAAAATACAGTCTTCACCCTCACTCTCCAGACCCTGACTTCGGGCCTGAATTTCTTGTAATTCCATTTCCTGTAGAATCACTGGCCCTGATCCCTCTTGTCCAGCAGTGGAGCTGTCCTTAAATGAGCACTGCTTGTGCACCTAGCCTGCTTCTAACACATGCGCAACAAAACTGTCAGCAATTGAACCCCAGGAATTCTTCACCCAAGTCACAACCTCTTGCAGACCAGCATTCACAAAGATTTCGTTAAATCAGGTGTTAATTGCAGACATCTGAGACAGGAATGGCCCCAAACGATGACAGTTATTTTGTGATATTCCACAAAAAAAGCTGAAAATTTGCAGAGACCAAACTTCAGAAAATGTTTATTTCACACAAGTGCTTTAAGTACATGTGTTACAACACTCAATAGTGAATTATAAAGATTCATATTAGGCCAGGTGTGGTGGCACAATGCCTATAAATCCCAGCACTTGGGAGGCTGAGGCAAGAGGGTTGCCATGAGTTTGAGACCAGGCTGGGCTGCACAGTGAGTTCAAGACCAGCCTGAACTACATAGAGAGACCCTGCCTCAAAATGGAAAAAACTCTTGATTAGACACAACTGTGTCTGTTGGAGAGCACATATTTGTGCACGTGTCATTTGGCAGTGTCTCAAGCTCATGTGTTTACTGATAGGTTTTAGTGGCAGCAGCGATGGCGGTGGTGGTGCAGCAGAGAAGCAGAAGTGGTGGGGGGAGCCTTTATTAACTGACGACACAGAGGATTTCGGGCAGGGGGATGGGCAGGTCCTCTGACCTGAGGCAGGGAGGATGAGACGTGGACTTTTGCTGGGGGCCGAGTTTTAGGGGCAGGTTTAGTGACACACAAGGAGCTGACTGGAGGCTCCCTTGTGTGGGAGGGAAAGGTAAAAAGTACCCAGGGCTGGAGTAGGGAAGGACAAAGTGGTCACTGGGAAGATGAGCTGCTGTTTTGGCGATTCAGTCATGTTGGATCAGGGCCATGATAATTTAGCAGTCTGTACTAGGGCTATAACCTATAATTTACCTCAGACCCAAAGGTGCCTGCTTAGGTACTTAGAAATAATTTATATTATCGTTTAAATATTGCCAAAAATTTATTTAAATTATATAAAAATAAATAAGAAATTATATATTATTTTATTATTTGTCGTGGTTTGGAGTTTTTTGCAAAGTGAACATAGTGCAGGGTACGTTTTATATTAGATTATGATGAATCACCTAAGAATCACAACATTTAGTGTATCCACACACTAAATACTAAAGACTCCAGCTGAGGGCCTGGATCCTAATATCCTGCATGAGTACAGCTGGAAACCTAGAGCTCATAACAGTGCCTCCCCCAAGTCCAACTAGAGGCCTACAGCCCACAACAAAGTCTCATACAGGTCTGCTTCACAGATCTGTGCTGGAAAGGCCCAAAGGTCAGCGGTGGAAGCTCAGAAGTCTCTGCTGGTAGGATGAAGGATCTGTGCTAGCGGGCTGAGGGATCTGAACTGGAGCTAGAAGGCAACGCTCAAGGTGAGCACCAGAGCTCTCCCAAAAGTACCACAACTATACTCAGCAACAGTGAGGTCCCAAGCTCTTCCAGAGATGAGGAAAGCAGAGTTCCCATCAGGAAAACCAATGCGACAAGCTTCTTCATGAGGCTGAGCAGTGTACCATCTTGCCCTCTGGAGCCAGAAAGTGATGCTCAATATGAGGACCAAAGCTTCTCCAGGGTTCATCAGGAAAGCCAGCATGACAAGGTCCTCCAGCAGAACAGCCCAAGAGAACTTGCAGTTTCCCATAGCTTCTCAAAACAGCATCCCAAACAGCATTTGACAATTTCTCTTGTTCTGCATTCATGCTGCTGACAACATCCCTCAGGTGGGCTTCCTGCACTGAGCATCATGCTACTTTGATTCATCTGGGTGTAATAAGTTGACCACCAGTTAGAAATCCTCTACATTATTCAATATATCCATGTGTTATAATAGGTGTACTAAATTCTTCTGTCTGGCTCGTGATCTTAACTGGGGCTGGCTTTGGGGCTTCTAAGAATCTTGACAAATCATGTTAGAACTTTTTTTTCCAGTTAGGTCTTATTTTGGAGGAAATACAGTACATCTATGTAGTCTCAAATAGTTTGTAGACAATCTTAAAACACCTCTCAACTTATTACAAGCAAATATTCTGGAGGGCAGAGAAGAATAAGCCTTTTTTATGATAAAAAGATAGAATTCACTTTTAAAAAAGAAACAGTTTCAGATTTTGCCTCCATTTCAAGAATTAGAATTTTTCTTCCCTTTCTTGAACTTTTTTTTTTTTAATGATTACCTTTACTCTTCAAACACATCCACTGTAGAAAACTAAATATCTATAATATCAAACTTCCTGGGCTGGAGAGATAGCTCAGTGCCTTAAGTGCCTGCCTGGAATTGCACAAGGTCCTGAATTCAATCCCCAGTAACAACAACAACAACAACAAAAAAAAAAAAAAAAAAAAAAGAAAAGAAAGAAAAAGAAAAAAAGAAAAAAACCTTCCCATTAAACCTCATTCTAAATACAAAAAGATTTGTTTATTCCTTTTTTTGGTTGTTTATTCCTTTTGTGTAGATACATAAGACTTCAAAAACCAAATTACTACTGTAAAACATTCTGATTTTCTCTTCCCAGATTGGATTCACTTTCTTGAGGGCAATAAATATTTGAAAAGATGGTCTTAGTTTCATTGTTTTTATCAAAATCTAATTATAGCTAGATAATTTACTTCCAAGTATTTGTTATTCAAATGGTTTTACAAATTTGCTATAATTAATTATTTCATCTTTTTTGGGGGGGTTGTGTTTGTTTTTAGCTGAGGTTTATTTTCTGGTTTTGGTGCCGAGGACCAAACCCAGGGCTTCCAGCTTGCTAGGCAAGCATTCTACTGCTGAGCTAAAGACCCTGCTATAATTAATAATATTGTGATGGTCATTCTTTGCACATAACTCTCACTGATAAATCATTGAAAGCCAAGTCAGCAACACAAGGAACTGGATATTTCTAAATTTCTTGACATGCTGTGCATACTGCTTTGCAGAGAGACCGCACCAGATTACAGTCATTCCCCTCAATAGTCGCGAGCACATCTGGTTTTTGTTTTGTTTTCTTATCCTTTGCCCAAAGTGGAAAGTAGATGTAATTTTTCACTTTTTATTTTTACATATTTCATACAGTTAAAATAGTATCTCTTTGTCTTATTTTTTTATTTTTCTTTGGCTGTGAAGTATAACGTTTTCCTTACGTTTACTGCTCATTTTCCATGTTGCTCTTATTTTTTCATATTGTCATGGTGCTGGGAAATGAACCCAACATTTCTATTTTGTGCAGGTCTTCCAGGAGGAAACTCTAACACACACAATTTCCTGACATATCATTAATTCTTTCTAAATGGACAAGGGTATATATGCTTCACATCCTTTGAAGTAAAGCAGACATTCCCAAAGTTATTGGAATGCTCCTTCCTTCTGAGTGGCTATGTTATGAGGTATTATTATAGGCAGTTAGCTTAGGTAAAAATTAATAACCCGACAAGACCAGACCCTTAGAGAGTCAATGCAAAAGACAAGAACACACCAAAACTCTGGCTGGAGGCACAGCCATTGAAGGCCAGGCCTCAAGATAAAGATGCAGTGACCAGGCCAACCTGCGCCCCTGAGGGATAAGCAATAACTTGAGATTGCACTGTGATCAGTATCACCTGGTCTGGTAAAGTCCAGATAGCCAGAACATCTAGGCCTCAACCCTACCCAAAATGCCTTTGTTCTTCCCATGTACCCTTGCCACATGGCTCACTTCACAATTGGATCAATATTAGCTAAGTGGCTGCACTTGTAACCCTACAGGTTGATTGTGTTGGCCCACGTTTTACCCACATTGTGACTTTGCTGTACAAAGTTCCCCTGGCAAGTGCCATCGTGGCCACTGTTGGGCCCCTCATGTCTCTCAGGAGCTATGTCTCAAGTCTTTACTACTCTTAACCTGTTGTCCTTTAGAATTCATTCTTGGATTTCAGAGGACACAAACTAAGCACATCTGGCATCTAGCAGGTTGGGAGCTAGATTTCTCCTATATCTGTATGATTGAAAAATATGGTGTGTATTTAAATAAAAAGTTTATTATATAAATATTACGTTGCAGTTAAGTTTGTTCAAAGTACAAGCAGAAGCAGAGACATTGGCTAGGAATCTGGTATGGTAATTCCCTGGAGAAATGACCATGTTGTGAGATGGGGAGCTGCGGAAGGTTCTGCATGTATTCTTGAGTGTGGCCCCTGTAGATGAAATCTGGGGTGTCGGAATGATTTTCACATGACCGATGTCTTTGGCTAGAGTAACTCGATGAATGGAGCTTCCACTGCCGAGATGAAGTGACTGTACGACTAAGGCTTTGGGGGAAAAAAATCAGAAGCTAAGCTTTCAATACATTGCCTCTTAGACATCCAACTGGACGCCATCCCTCGCACAGACTGGGCATATGTCTAGCTAGTCTGACTTTGAGCAATAACAAGAAATGAGAAAACATCGTAATTAATGTAATACTTTACCCACTTTTTTTTGCATTCTCTTCCAAATGTCCTATGGACGATTATTTTTCATAATTGTAACACTGTATTACAATTCGACTTTTTAACTTTAGTTATGCTAAAAGCCATTTCTAGTATTGCCAGACAAAACATCCGTTTGTAGAGTCTGAATTTTTAAACACAGGTGACACTTTAAAAAACATGAAAGAACACCTTACCCCATACAGCAGTGGCAAAAGAAGCGATAGGCAGCTGCACTTTCTCCTCCGAAGCAGTAGGAGGCGCAAAAGCAGCGAGGGGTCGCTGCGCTGCGGACGGGGTTCCTCTCCCTTCCCCTTCCTCGCGGCACCCTTGCCTCCTTACCCGGAAGTGCTCTGCGACCCTGCTAGCCGGCGTGACTTTCTGCGCTCGGTTGTAGGAGCCGGCGCTGTGTGTACGCGGAGCCGCGGGACGTCGCGCTTCTGCTCTGGCCATGAGGGTGCTGGGGGCCGCCGCGGCCGTGGCTCTGGGCCCGCGGCCACTCTTTCGGGTCCCTGCATCCCTGCCCTGGCAGAGGAGGCAGGTACTGGCGCCCGGCGAGGCTGAGCCAGGGACCATTCCGGGGACGGTGCGGTCCGGTCGGGGCTGGGAGGCGGAGACGCCGACCGCTCTCCACGGGGGCGGGCGGCGCAGCCTGGGCGCTGAAGTGTCCCCCGCCAGCTGCGTGGCGGCTGTCTTGAGGAGCAGCTTCTCGGTGCTGCGAGGTTGGGCGGGCCTTTGATTTATGGTGTCCCCTAAGACAAGCGATTGGCGTGAAGGTCATGTATAAAATCCAGTTTTCCAGGCCGGAGAGGACCGCTGACTCTGTCGATGGGCTGATTGTCCTTTCTCCGCGCACCCTGGGTTATTTGATTTGGTGCTCCAATTATGGTACTTTTCTTGGAGATAAAAATGAATGTAAATTTGAAGCTAAAACTTGTGTTTCCTATTAAGTCAGTTTTTAGGATCTTTCGGATTTTGATGTCTCCACTGTATATGTTCAAATTAAGGACTTGGCAAAGATTTCTGTCCCATTTTATTTTAATTAACTTTAAGGAACATGCCTTTTGTAATCAGTGGTTACAGACGTTTCAAGTCTGTAACTTTTCCTGCTTCTGGACCTTTTATCATGTCCATTAAGATTCTTTATCATTCATTCACTGCCATTTTGCCTGTTTCTTCATTAAAAAAAAGGGGGGGGTCATTGAATTGAGCTCTTGTATTTTTTCAGGTTAATTGGAAGTTCTGCCGCTGCTGTTCATCAGGGATAATTCCTAATGAAAAAATACGAAATATTGGAATCTCAGCACACATTGATTCTGGGAAAACTACGTTAACAGAACGGGTGCTTTACTACACTGGCAGAATTGCACAGATGCATGAGGTATGTGTTCAAGGCTGATTCCGGATTGATTAAAACCTGAATGTTTCACAAAACCTGAATGATTAGAACAGTGGGAACACTGGTTCTTCAACCAAAGTCGCATGCACAGGGTGGATAGCTTGTCAGTTTGAAATTGCCTGCATGCTCATTTTTTTCAACTTTCAAGAGTAGCTTGTCTTTTAGAAATGTTAAATCAATATGGCATACCTTAAACAGTTGTTAGAATAACCTTTTCATGATGTTAATGATGGGTAAGTGCTTGTAGTGTTAAATAGAAAAATAGATTTAAGTGATACATAGCTTAAATTAAATAGTTGAAGTGCATGTCAGAAAAAAAATATTTTTAAAAGCCTTGAAACTCTTAAGACATTACTATATCACTGACCCATTTAACCCTTCAGTTCAGAATATTTCTCTGTGTGAAGTCTTTAATAAATAACGTATTTATTAAAGACCCTTAGTCTTTAATAAATAACGTATTTATTAAAGACCCTTATTTCTCTGAAGAGCATATTTTTAAATCTTTTTTTTTTTTTTTTCCAGTACTGGGAATTGAACTCAGGACCTTGAGCTTGCCATGCAAGCACTTATTCTACTGAGCTATCTCCCCAGCCCTTTTTATGGGGGGGAGGGACGGGGCAGGTCTTACTATGCAGTTCAGGCTGGCCTTGAGCTCACTCTGTAGCCAAGTCAGTCTCAGACTTGAAATAATCCTCCTGCCTCAGCCTCCTAAGGACTGGGATCACAGGAGGGCACCACCATGCTCAGCTAAATCTATAACGTAAAGACTGCCTTTTCTCCCCTCATGCCTCAGAATGTAGGTGGAGCAGAGCTGGAAAAGGTCTGCTGTCAGGGACTAACTTGAGGGTGGTGGGTAAGAATAGGGAGTGAGCAAGCGTGGGCAGGTTCTCAAGACCAGGGTGATTGCCTGCCTTAACACTTCTGAGGACAGCAGTGAACAAAGTGTTGGTAACTAAGGCAGGGCAAAGCCTATCATTTGTCTTATTTTTATAAGGTGATAGAGTTTGATAATTAGTTTTGTCTGAACATGTGTAAGTTAACTGTTCTGATTCCATTTCAGTGAATGTTTTTCTGTCTTGGGATGCAAGGACAGAGAAATCTAAATTGCTGTGTTTGTGTGTAGGTGAAAGGTAAAGATGGAGTTGGTGCTGTCATGGATTCCATGGAACTAGAGAGACAGAGAGGAATCACCATTCAGTCAGCGGCTACCTACACCATGTGGAAAGATGTTAATATCAATATTATAGATACTCCTGGTGAGTTAGGGTCTTGGTTTTATTATAACTCATTTTGGCAGAAGCAAGTTTAGTAATTTCTTCTGCTGTGACCCGATTTTTGAACGTCAGATGAAGAGCTAACTGAGTTTCTATTATAGAATATGGGTATGGGTCCTAGAGCACTTCTTTTTTTATTTTTTTTAAAGTAATGTTCTCTTCTTTCAAGAAGAATTGATTTAATCCAGCTTGATTTTATATAATGCTCCAAATTTAGGAAACTACAATTTTATTGAGATTTACAGGAATTGATTACAGTATGAAAATGTTCATGTATAAACCATTTCACAAAATTTTAATATGCACATGTAAAAATGAATTTTACTTGTACATGTTATGTAAAACACTCCTATATTCATAGTGTAACTCTTCTTAGGACCTGGAAACTGTAATGGTTAAAGGATAAATCATTTTTAAAGTATCCACAAATGTCTTTGTGGATAGGCAATGTAACTCTGTTAGAAATCTTTTTTTTTTTCCATAATTTTATTGAGAAACAAATAACAATGAGACAGTTTCAAATCAAATTGGCTGGACAGTTTCAATAATTAACACATTGCGTACATTCTTCCTAGTGGTTAATTGCTGTACAAGATGTGGACATGATATCCTATTTACAAACACCATTAGAACAAATCCCTCTATTCATTAAGAGAATGTAACTATATATCTATCCTAGCCACTTTGAATACACAGAGCACTTCATTTTTGTGTAGTTTCCTTGAAAAATAATGCAAATATAATGTAAGTAGGAAGGTTCTTTCTACATATTCCAGCTGATTTCAAAGTTGCTCATATCCTAATACTTTTTAGAACTGTGACATTTTTGGACCCTGCACTTGATGGTGGGTGAATGATATTCATAGGCTGAGGAATCTGTATTCTAATTAGATTTACATAACTATCAGAGCCATAAAATCTTAATAGTGTATTTATTAAAGATTCAGACTGTTTTTAAAACCTTCATGTGCTACTTTTCTCATGTAGGCCATGTGGACTTCACAATAGAAGTCGAAAGGGCCCTGAGAGTGTTGGATGGTGCAGTCCTTGTTCTCTGTGCTGTTGGCGGGGTGCAGTGCCAGACCATGACTGTTAATCGGCAGATGAAGCGCTACAATGTTCCATTTTTAACTTTCATTAACAAATTGGATCGCATGGGCTCCAACCCAACCAGGGCCCTCCAGCAAATGAGGTACTAAGTGTCAGAAAGAACAGGGGATGTGCTGATCTAGATAGATAGCAAACCTTGTAACTAGAGGAATAATTAATTCAGTGTTATTAATTTTATCCTTAAATTTCTCCTTTCTGAAAAACTTAATTATGTAACTTAAATGAAACCACTGAGTTCAATACTTTGGCTTATGGTGCAGTTTCACAAGCTACTTTCTCTGTAAAATGAGGAGGAGAATATGACTTAAATTCTAGGGAGTTTGAAGATGACTTAGGAAACAATCACAGTTCACACCATTTACCTGTATTAGAGATGTTGTAATCTAGAGTAGATTCTAGAAAAGCTTGCCATTTTATTTAGGTGAACCTAGAGGATCTTTTTTGACTTAACCTTTACTTGGGGGATGTTAATTAATGCTCTTAAGTAGTAGAGAGAAATTTGCCTCAGAGATAAAGTTTCCATACTTTCTGAAGGTAACTTATTTCCTAGAACGACAGTAGCTTTCTTTTTATACCAGATACAACCTAGGGGTGTTCACAGCCCTTACATTTTGCACGGTACATTTACTTATCCTTTAATAATTCAAGTGAGATGTTGATTCACAGTTCACTTTTTGTAGATGTGCAAAGGTAGCCATAGAGTTCCTGCTCAAGTTTCACAGGGCGAAGGAATGTCTGGAAGTAGGTTTAGGTAAGAGTGGTGTATCTGCTGCTTTTCTTTTTTGGATATATGTAATATTCTCTTGGTAAAATTAAATACTCTCACCTTTATTGATTAGCTTTTTCCACCAGGTTAAAATGATTTGGTTACTTTTGGGTGTGCTCCATTGCCCCAGTTCTACTTCCCTATTTTCTCATTTTGTAACTCATCAAACATCATCATGGAACTTCTGAATCTGGCCTCCATGTCTTTCTGCCTTTTCCACTTTTTCAGATACCTGTCTCCTCATTTTGCACAGGGCCATGTGAGAATTCTTGAGGTTAATATTCTTTTTTTTTTGTGGGATTGGGAATTGAACTCAGGTCATTGCACTTGCCAGGCAAGCGCTTTTTCTACTGAGCTATCTCCCTGGCCCCCATTGCGGTTAATATTCTAACTCATAAATTTGAAATTAGTCTGTCTCCTATTATTCAGTTTTTCCTTTTTTTTTTTTTTAATTTTTTTTTTTTTATTTTTCAACAAATAATACACTGCATGTATTCCTCTTAGTGGTTAATTGCTGTACAAGATGCGGACTTGTGATCCTATTTACAAACACCATTAGAACAAATCATTCTATTCATTAACAGAATGTAACTATATATCTATCCCAACCACTTTGAATACACAGATACAAAATGGACATTCATCTGTATACCCCATTTTTTCTAAGTTCCGTTATTGAATATTATAGGTGTGTAAACTCAGCAAAATATTCTAAAAGAGTCCAGTAGCCCATATTAGCATTGGGTCTTCTGTTTAACTGGCAATGTCAGAAATTATTGACCTGAGTCCCCCACAGCTCAACTTAACAGCATGGCTTTATTTCTTATAATTTCGTCTTCATACTTTTCTGCTGGATGGTTAAGACCAAGGTAAAGCAGGACCTATGCAACAAGAGTTGTAGCTTTTTGGTCTGAGAAGGTCAGTGAAATGCCCTCAGGATTTGTCCTGAGATCCTGTACCTCAGATTGTAGAACCTTTATCAGTGCAGCCATGTGGATGAGTCACGGCCAATGCTTGGCCAATGTGCTCTCTGTGAAAGCCAGAGAGAGTATCTTCTCCCCATGTGACTCTCCTTAGGCCCACTCTATGTCATCGATCACTTTCCTCTTTGGCCCCATAATCTTCTTGATCAGAAAATTTGGGACACTACTGAGGTACATGACGTTACAGAACAAGTTCTCATATGTCCTGAGTCTTAATTGACCTTAGAAGGCTAGGGCCAAAATGTTGGCTTTCCTTGTAGCCCTCCTTTTTCTCTAATTTTGGTCTGCAAACTTAGGTTGTTAACCATCCAGAAGAAAAGCTTATTGTTATTATCAAACGATTTAGGCTATCAAGCTTAACCTCACTATCTCACTGCATTTCAAACATCTTAGGCATAATAAGGAACAGGTATTTTTCATCAAGTATTGATATGTTGAACTTTAAGTCCCTACATAATATGATAAAAAAAACACTTAAAAATTAGATTATATTTTAACAGTTTTTCCTTTAAAAAAAGAAAAACCCTTCAGTTAAGTAATTTTAAAATCTTTTATTGCAACACTTTCTAAACAGGTAATTTCTCAAATCTTTGAATTACTTTCTTTCCTCTAGTGATTCCCTTCCTAAAGGTTAGTACTATTTCTTGAGTTGACATTTCTCTTACAAGCTGCTGCCTTCCTTTAAATACTTAGTGGTTCTTAGGTCTCTATCCAGAGTTATGTATGGAGGTCTAAAGTCTAACTGAATGATGGCAGCTACAGCATATTTCTTCTGCAGTGAGGGAATCTGCTGCTAAATGTGGTTTCAGTTCCGTGGTTGTGCCGCGTTGAGATACATGATGAGTGTCTGACTTTGCAACTCATTCTAAAAAGTTTTATATAAAGCTCTCTTCAGATAGCTTTGGTCAATTTTGTTATCAGTTGATCTGGGGATGAGAATTGGACTCAGCTATTCTGCTGAACTTTATAATTTCTTGGTCAGGCACCCATTAACTAGTTGTCCTTCCTTTTGTTTCTGATCTGGCATATTCAAGTCTGATGAGAAAATGTATTTTAGAGTTCATTTTATTGACAAAGCAAGTTACATCTCCTTGTCCTTGAGTTTGGTTGTCAGTTTGTTCTCAGCTGCTTTATATTTTCATTCTGACCTGCTGGTACCATGCCTTGCATGTCTGCCATTGACCTACTTTTATATTTGTTACTTCAAAAGGATTTTGAGAGAAGAAAACAGTGCATTTTTAAACTAGTGCATTTTTATTTTTCAGGTCAAAACTAAATCATAATGCAGCATTTATGCAAATACCTATTGGCTTGGAGGGTAATTTTAAAGGTATTATAGATCTTATTGAGGAACGAGCCATATTTTTTGATGGAGACTTTGGGTAAGTGCTAAAATTGAAATTTTGGTAAATAAAGGGACAGCAGGATTGAAGGGAGAAGAGAGGATTGGGAAAAAAGAGTCAAGATGTATTATGTAAAGGCAGAGATTTCCTACGATGAGTGTGATCATGATATATGTATCTAAAATGTACCAATAAAATTTTAAAAAGTTAAATAATATTTTATATTTTAAAAAACAAAGAGGGGCTGGAGAGATGGCTCAGTGGTCTAAAGCACCTACTTGGAACAAGCTTGGCAAAGCACAGGGACCATGGTTCTATACCCCAGCACCACATGCCAGCCAGCTCCGCCCCCTGGTGGGCTGAGCTGGCCATACACACAAACAATAAATAAATGTAATAAATAAATAAAAACAATGTTTAAAAAAAGTTTATAAAAAAAAACAAAGAGAAGGAAAGGATAATTAAAAAAAAAAAAAAACTTTTTGAAATGTACCTAGAAGAATATTCTCTAAAGCTGATTTTTTTTTTTTTTTTTTTTTGCAACTGGGGATTGAACTCAGGCCCTTGCGCTTGCCAGGGAAGCGCTTATTCTTCTGAGCCATCTCCCCGGCCCCTTAAAGCTGATTTTTTAAAATAAATTCAATTATAGTTACTGTCCTGCTATTTATTGTGAGACAGTTGTTACTTTTTGGGTATCAGACTCATACCATGTTTTGGCATGCCTGGTGTGATAGGAGGGGCTTTCAATTTGGACTAATGTAATCTGTCATTTTCTACTTTTTCATTCTGTAAACATTGAACATCGTTATTTTTTTCTGGGCATTGTGATAAAGATGGGGAGAAAATAGGAATTATAAATACTTCCTCTATCAATTTTATGGGAAAACAGATTAATTAGTTGTAGTTAAGAAATTCACCAAGAAAATGGAGACCTTTTTGACATGATATATGTTCTGTCAGCTTTTTTTTTCTTTCTTTTTTTCTCAATAACTTTATTTATTTATTGACTTATTTTTTGGCAGAACTGGGGATTGAACTCAGACCCTTGCGCTTGCCAGGGAAGCGCTTATTCCACTGAGCCATCTCCCCAGCCCCTCAATAACTTTATTGAAAATCAGTAATTATATGGCATATTAAATATTTTACACAGATATTGAAATGTCTGTCAACTTTTTTAACAGTCATAAAAATCTTGAAAATTCATCACAACACATTCTAGAGTCTACCTCAAAGATTTTGATTCAGCAGATCTTGGGTGGGGGCTAGAATTCGTGTTTCTAGAAGTTCCCCATTGATGGTTGATGGAACTTGTACGCAGATCACAGTTGATTGGCATTGATCTAAGCAGTGAGTGGAATCACATATGACCGTTTGGTTTGAGGAATTGCCCAGTATCCTGCCAGTCTCTCCAGTGACACTTGCTGAGGGATTCCTTCCTCTGCTGTGGGGTTGGGATTGTAGGTCTGACAAGTTGGCAGATGGCATTGTGACCAGTGAATGGTAGATTGTATCTCCTGTGCCAGTTTGTAGGCAGAAAAAGGATGGAGGTTGTCCAGTTAATTGTTTCTTACATTTTGTGTGACTTGAGTACTGACATGTTTATTTATCACTCTTTAGAGTGTAGGACCACAGTTGGGGTTTTATCTCCTTTATGCACTTCAATGTCTCTAGCCCTTTGAACTTCCTGATCCATAATAGGGACTCAAAAAAAATTAAAATGTTTTTAATCATTTATTTATTTATTTGGTACAGGGTCTCACTACACAACTCAGACTTGTAGTGATCCTCCTGTCTCAACCTCCCCAGTGCTAGGATTACCATGCCCGGTTTCAGGTGGCATGGCGCACCCAGGGTTCCTGGGCAGCAGGACGTGCAGTACTAGGGATCAAGCTCAGGTCCTTGTGCTATCTCCTCAGCACCCAGTTTTTTTTTGTTGTTGTTGTTTTTTTAATGGATGAATCTTTCCAAGAATTACCAGGGTACATGTTTCTAAAGTAGAAACTAAACATTTTTGTACATGATTCTGGTCTATAAAAAACTAAGAAATCAAAATTACTGTGAATAGCATTTTAAAGAGTTCACATGGTCTTTAGACAGGTGGGTTTTGTGTATTTTAGGGAAGGGTCTACAGGGTGTTCAGGGTCTCACTACTAGATCCAACTCCTCATAGTGATCTGCCTGTTTACAGCCTCCCAATAGCTGGGATTACAGGCATGCGCCACCACTTCCATTCTCGGACAGGTTGGTTTTGAATTGTAACTAGTAATTTAGATTTACTAGTAGTTTAACCTTGGGCAAGTTCCTGTACTTATTTAGTTTCCTCATTGACAAATAACAGGAGCTTTAGGAGGCAATGATTAGTAGCTATCTGATTAGTGCTGACCACAATGTAAGTTTAAATAAATGAATTTTTTTAAAATGTATTTTTATTACAGGGTCTATGGGGTCTCACTACACAGATCCAACTAAGAGTGATCCTCCTGTTTTCAGCCACCCAAGTGTTAGAATTGCAGGCATGTGCCACCACCTCCTTTGCTATCTCAGCACGCCCCAGGGGCAGAGCCGGCACAGCACGCAGGGGATCAAACCCCTGGCCCCTACATTTGCTTAAGCAGGCGTTTTATTCCGCTGAGCTATCTGACTGGCTCAATAAATTAATTTTTAAAGCTTACATATTTTCTAATTTGAATGCAGTAAAAACAGTCCTATGAGTACATTGAAAAGAATTCTAATCTTTGGTTTAGTTGATATTTTTCCAGCTCATTGTGTTAGTCTTTGTATAAGTAAATTTTACAGCATGTGGTTGTTTCAAGGTTATGTAGAATAGGGCAGCATGGTTTATATTACATTGGGAAAAATTTCTGTTAGATTATCATTCTCTGCTACAAAAATTTACCTGCAGAAAATTAAATGTCTGTTATAAAATTAAAGATGTTGCAATGTTCTCCTTGTGGAGGACTCTGGAATATGGTTCTGTTTACTACTAGGACAATCTCGAGCAAGTTACTTTTAAGTATTTTTATCCTTAAGTATTAGTTTTATTTGTCCTTTAAATGCAAATGCATCAGAGCTTGTTCTTAATTAAAATTTTTTAGCTATTAATCATATCTTTTTCATTGGTGATATATATTTCTTATTGAATATCCTTAAGAGTATTAAAATAAAGCTTTTTTTTTTTTTTTCAGTCAGATTATTCGGTATGGTGAGATTCCAGCTGAATTGAGGGCAGCAGCAGCGGATCACCGGCAGGAGCTGATTGAGTGTGTTGCCAACTCAGATGAGCAGCTTGGTGAACTGTTCCTAGAGGAAAAAATCCCTTCCATTTCTGATTTAAAGGCACGTGCTCATGAAATAAGTCTTATATTAACAAAGTTTTTTTTGTGTATATAGCAGGAAGACATATGCCTTTAGGGATTGGCTTTATTAATGAAATCTGAATAAATTTATTTGGCATAATTGGCATCCCTGAAAAATACTTGACATGTCACATTATTTTTTTTTTAACTGAGTTATTAATATCTTCAAATGAGAAAGGAATCATTTCTAAGGAAGAACATGTTAAGCTATCAGCCTCTTAGGTGTATTATAAAGAAAAAAAGGTAAATATAAAAAAGGTACACTGACTAGACAGGTTAAGAAATGAGATTGCTAAATGGCTGCAGACTGAATGTTGGTAGTTACACCACAATAATGTTTGGAAACCTAAGGCCTATAGACTCCTTTACTTTATTACTCATCAGCATAAAAATAGAGAAGATTCCTTCCTAACACTGCTAATCAGTTTTTCAGTGCAAATTTCTCTAAAACAAGATATGCAGATGGCCAGTGTATGAAGAGGTATTCATCATTGCCAGTCATTTAAAGAAATGCCAGTCAGCACACCTGTCATAGCTCAGTGGCATAAGTGCCTGATTGGCAAGTGTAAGGTCCTGAGTTCGATCCCTAGTACCAAAAAGAAAGAAAAACATCTATAAAAAGCAACATGGAAAAAAGAAATGCCTATCAAAATCATAGTAAGAGGAGCCTCATGAAAAACAGACAGAAAACTGTTAATGTTCTCCAGTGTATGGAGAAATTAGAACTCTTCTGCTCTGCAGTTGGGAAGGCAGTCCTGCCACTGTAGAAATAATATGGCAGCTCCTCAGAAAATTCAGCTAGAAGCACTGGGTGTCATACACTGGAAGGAATGCCCAAAAGAAAGGTCTCCGACACTTGACTTAGTAGCACTCTCCACAATAGCCAAAAAATTAGAAACAACCCATATGTTTATTAATGAATGAATAAAATGTAGCTAAATATAAAGAAATATTTTGTAGCTCTAAAAAGGAATAAAAATTCTGATGAATGCTATACCAGAGGTGAACTTTGAACACATTCTAAATGAAACAAGCCAGATTTTGAAAGGGCAAATATTTTATGATTCCACTTGTATGAAGTACCTAGGATAGTCAAATTCATAGAGGCAGAAAGTAGAATGGTTTATATAGGGGTTGTATTGGAAGCTTTAATAGGGATCTATTGTAAGTAGATACAGCATTTCATTTTGGGATAATGAGAAAATTCAGATTGCTAGTGGTGAGGACTGTACAAAATTAATGCCCCTCAAACACTCACAAATGGATGAAATGGTAAATTTTTGTCTTAGGTGTATTTTTACAACAGTTAAAAAAAGAAAACCAGATGTTAATTTTCTCAAACCACTTGTACTTAGAGATCAGGCAATTATTGTGCATAAGACATTTCATTTAAAGCATTGTCAATAAATCAGACACAGAAAAATCCTGTTGCCATTGAAGATGCTTACTAATTTTTTTTTTTTTTTAACTTTTTAAATTTTTTTTAAAGACAGGGTCTTACTCTGTAGTTCAGGCTGGTCTTAAACTCAGTATATATTCCAGCCTGGCTTGAGCTCCAGTGATCCTCCTGCCCCACCTCCTCAGTGCTGTGGTCACACTACATCCAGCTTTTTGACTGTTTAAACTGGGACTTCATCTTATAATTTGAGTCCGTTCGTATTCTTAAAGCCCCCAGTATCTCAGCTTCCTAATGAGTAGGGGACACATAGGAAGGTATAGGAGTGACTCGAAGCGTAGTCAATCAAGCATTAGATTCTGTTACTAAAGGGGCTGTGTCAGGGTTCTCAGCGAGCTCTCCCGGGGCCAGTGACTCCCTGAAAAGACACTGCAACCTCCTCTGTACATGGGCAGTGCTCATGGCTGTGGTTTATTCCAGTGAAAGGACAGTTTTGATTAACAAACTCAGCAAAGGGAAAAGGTACAAGATGAAACTAAACAAACTGTGAGCCTCCAGAGTTCTCTGTCTGGGAAGTCAGGATAGCTTATGCCTTCCAGCAAGGATATGGGGCAGCACCTTTGAGATGTCATCCAGCAGGGAAGCTCATTAGAAACTCAGTGCCTCGGGTTTTGATTGGAGTCTGGTCACATAGCCACCCTCTGCCTCATACGTCCCCAAAGTTAGGACTCGCAGGAGGAAGGCATATGTAGCACACAGCATGTTGTAAGAACAGTACAAGCACAGTGAGCCATTCTTGCCACTTCAGAGAATTTGAGGCTTCTGAGATCTACAGCCCCAGGTACCAGCTGAGGGCCACTGTGCAAGCAGGCTGTTCTCTGGTAAGTTTCAGTTCTGCTGTACTTTTTCTTCACTTCAGAATACATGAGAATACTGTAGTTCTCTTGTGGTTGGATGTTGTACTGGGGCAGTGGAAAGGCAATAGATTTCAAGTATGAAAGTGATTCTTATAAAAAAGGGAAAGTTTTTGGAAAACTAAGTCCTTTGGGGACTGTTTTAAGGATCGTTTTAATTTTTTAAGCACCATGTTGTCCATTTATCTACCACCTTCTAGTATTTCTCTGTCCTGTAGATGTAAAGTGAGTGTGCTAAGATCCCTACTTGCATATTAGGAGGATGTGTGCCCAAGTGGCCTGTGGTAGCCTATGTGCTCAGTAATCTAGCAAAAGATAGTTTTACTTCCCTTGCATGTTTCTCCCTTTTTATGCCTTCTTTTTATCCTTCTCAGTGCTTATCCTCCTTCAGATTGTGGTGATGGTTAGAAATTCAGGGGGCCGGGGAGATGGCTGAGTAAAATAAGCACTTCCCTGGCAAGTGCGAAGGCCTGAGTTCAATCCCTGGTTCTGCCATTGCAAAAAAAAAAAAAAAGAAAGAAATTCTAGGTATGAATTTCTGGCTCAAAAAAATTCTGGCTCCAAGCTTTTTGGGGGCTAGCATGTTTTCTGTTTTTCTTTTTTCCTAAGGTGTGAGAAATAATTGAATGCTGACCACATTTGTGCAGTTATGGCCACAGGCCTGTTGTTGGCCTCTTGCAGCCGAAGCTCTACCATGTGCTTTCTCTTTTTTGGGGGGTATAATTAGAGCTGTGTTTACTTCAGGTTGTCAAATTCATTTTGGAATAATGACTGAGAAAGATAAATTTTGGAGCAGAAAACCTTGGGGAATTTCTCAAGTGTGCATGAAAGAAAGAAGGGTAAAAGATAGTCTATGTATATATTCAGGGTAGTTTTGATAATTGTACTTCTGATTTCTGCTGGTATTTTGAAAGGAACAGTTAATGTTTAAATTTTTTTTCTTTTTTACTCCTTTAAAATTTTTATGTATAATTTCTTATAGCATTTTTGTTGTTTTGTATTGTTAACCAGTTTTGCTGGTTTATATTGGGTAACCTAAACAACTAATATGAATTTTTTTTTTTTTTTGGCTGGCTCAGGATGTCTTAAGGGCAGGTCTGGTAAGACATGAGGCTCTGGGGCTCAAACCACGGTATCCTGAGGCTGACTGCCTTCACTTACACAGGCACTTAAAACAATTGAGCTAATGGACAGGCCTCCATGAAAGCTTATGTCTATCCTTTCTTCATAGTGGCTTATATCATTTATCAACGGAAGTAGTCCTCTTTGATCTCTTTAGTGCTTTTTGCCCTGAGTTGTACTTAATTTGTTACTAATTTTGCCTTTCTACCTTTTTTTTTAATGCCACTCTACTTTTTATTTGCCTAGGACATCTGTTTACTTTTTTTTTTTTTTTTCCCTGTACTTTAGGGAATGGTCTACAGGGTGTTCAGGTCTCACCACTTGATCAGACTCGTAGTAATCCTCCTGTTTACAGCCAGATTACAGGCACGAACCACCACACTGGGAGTCTCAATTGCCATCTCAGCGCACCCCAGGGGCAGGCTGGCACAGCAGGCCTGGGAATAGAACCCCAGGCCCCTGTGCCTGCTTGCAGGCACTTTAACAACTAATTTGAAGATAACAACATGTAATACAGCAACCATTGTTGAATTCCTGATACTCTGTTTAATGAAATTGTGATTGATTGATTGATTTGGTACAGGGTCTCTATGCAGCTCAGACTCATAGTGATCATCCTGTCTCAGTCTCCCTAGTGCTGGGGTTACAGGCGTGTGCCACCACGCCCAGTTTCGGTGGCTGGCACAGCATGCCCTGGGTTCTGAGCTTAGCACGGCATGCGGTACCTGGCATAGAAACCGGTCCTTGTACTCAGGCAGGCACTTAGACTGCTGAGCTATCTCTCTAGCCCTTTGTATCATTTCTAATGCTTTTTTCCACCATATGCTTTCTGCGGCCTGCTCAGCCTGCCAACCACATTGATAGAGCTTGCTGGAGGAATGGGGTGGGACTAGAATCTTTGTTTTAGAACTGCTATTAGCATATTCCTTAATTTGTGAATTATTTGTACTGTTTGGTTTCCTGGGTGTATGTTCTTTTTAGAAGAAAAAGAAAATAATTGAATGTTTCTAACAGCTGGTACTTTCTTATGGTTTAAACCCTAAAAAGTGTAAATGTGCTAAATCTCTCCCATTTGGGCACAGCAGACCCCTGACACCACAGTGCTCTGCAAGTCAAGGTGGAAGAGTCGAGCCCAGCGTGGGCGACTTAGTGACTTGGTGAGACCTTGCCTCAAAACAGAAAGTAAAAAATGGGGAAGCGGTGTAGCTCAGTGTGAAGATCTCCAGTATTACAAAATCTCCAGTATTACAAAACAAAACATTAAAAAATTTGCTACTTTCTTCCAACTGCCTCGGTCTCTGCCCTAAGACAGGTTATCACTGAATAGTTTCTGGTATATATTTCCAGGGACTTTTGCTTTTTTTTTTTTTTTTTGTATTTAGTACAGGGTCTCACCATGTGGGTCGGACTCGTAGTGATCCGCCTGTGTTCAACCTCCCAAGCACTGGGATTACAAGTGCATGCCACCATGCCGTCACAGTTGCTGTCTTAGCGCGCCCCGGTGGGGGGCTGGCACGGCAGGCTTGGGGATCAACCCCCTGGGCCCTGCGTCTGCCTAAGAAGGCACTGTAATCTGGTGAGCTATCTGGCCAGCCCTGTATTTCCAGGGACTTTTGAAAATATGTTACCTTTCCTTCTGTTTCATAGTCACAAGCGTACAGTTTGCACCATTCCATGTGTCTATTTTCTGTGTATATACCTATCGTTTTTGCTGGATTGAAAATTAATGATCCTTAGAAAGAATGTATGCAATGTGTTAATTATTGAAACTGCCCTACCAGTTTGGTTTGAAACTGTCAGTGCTATTTGTTTCTCAATAAAGTTATGGAAAAAAACAATAAATTAAAAAAAAAAGAAAATTAGTGATCCTAAAAGTATTGAAAGCAGTTATATAGTAAATCACTTCCAGGCAATGAAAAAGAAAATGACTTTTGTTTCTTTTGTATTCTTTGACTTCAGATTATTGGGACCTGATTTTACTCTTCAGTAGAGCTAGTTTTCCAAAGAGCATCCAGTTCATTTTATTTGTGTATTGGATTGCAGTTAGCCTGAAACACAATATGTATTGTTAACATTAATTAAGCTAATTTTCTTTCCTTTATTGTAGCTTGCAATTCGAAGAGCTACTTTGAGTAGATCATTTACTCCTGTTTTTTTGGGAAGTGCCTTAAAGAACAAAGGAGTTCAGCCTCTTTTGGACGCAGTTTTAGAATACCTGCCAAATCCATCTGAGGTCCAGAATTACGCTCTGCTCAATCAGGAGGAGTGAGTCTTGGCAATTTAATCTTTATTTATACAGGAAAAAAAAAAAACGTAAGCACTATGAGGCTTTTAGGGATAGTTCTAGTAATTTTATAATGTTTTTCATAATTTAAAAAAATTGACCATTTTTAGTTGAGTAACAATTTTGGTATATAGGAAAATATTTACCAATTCCTGTATGATATTTTATTTGTGAGTTATGATTTGTTTTGTCTCAAGGTATGTATCAATAGAACATTTTCTCATTTGGGGGTCAGCTCTTTACAGTCATTTTTTCTTTAAAAAGGATTAAGGGCAAACTTTTAAGAAGTTCTTGTTATCCCCTCCCCCATGACGATGGGAACGAGGGCCTTTGCATTTTGCACTGAGCTGCATACCTAGCACTTTTTCCTCTTAAAGTTTTTTGTTTTGTTTTGCATTTGAGACTGGGTGTTATTCAGTTGATAAGTCATGCAAGCTGGGCTCCAAATTGTGGTCCTACTTCAGCCTCCCAAAGGTCTGAGATTACAGGTTTTGCCACTATGCTCAACTTTGTTTTTTAGTCTGTCCTTTCATAGCAACTAAGCCCTAGGAATTTATTTTTGCAGGTCTTTGTGTGTGTGTGTGTGTGTGTGTGTGTGTGTGTTCAGAAGTGATTAGTGCACATATTTTTTTCTCAGATAATATTCATAGATACAACAGATTGATATAAAAGAATATAAAGATTATATCTCATAGATTGATTTATTTTTATTTTTAAGTGACTCAAAAGAGAAAACCAAAATCTTAATGAACTGCAAAAGAGACAGTTCCCACCCATTTGTAGGCCTGGCCTTTAAACTGGAGGTAAGTTGCTTTCCACTGTATTCATCTGGTGTTTGTACAGCTATACCCCTTATGAAAAATTTGGAAAACAGAAAAAATAGAAAGAATGATTAAGAGTTTCCAAATTGGTAACACTAAAGTGATAGTTTCTTATTAGGAGATGCGTTTTCTTCTTGTCTCTTTGTTTTAAAATACAAATTTTTACATAAATCATACTGCCTGTAAATTTTGTCCTGCTTTTTTCATTTGCTATCATAATAGAGTGGTCTATGTTTGTATAAATACTGTAGTTCAGACTTTTTTAAAAAAAGAAATAGTTACTTTATAATTATTGTGTGTGTGCGTGTGCGTGTGTGTGTGTGTGTGTGTGTGCGTGGTACTTGAGCTTGAACTTGGGACCTTGTGCTTGCCAGGCAGGCGCTTATGCCTCTGAGCTACATCCCTGGCAGACATTGAGGTGTAATATTCTCTTAAGTAGATGTGCCATAATTTGCTTAAATTTTTTTTAGTTGTTGAACATTTCTATTTTTCCAGGACTTTGCTATTACAGTAACAGTGAGTTGACTTCTAGAAATTTATCCTAAGGAACTAGTGAAAAGTAGTATATTAGTGTTATGTTCAATTTGCTTATCTTGACTTATAAAGTAAAATAAAACTACCAAGGTATGGTAGTTTGATTAAAGAAATTGAGATACCGCCTTACCGAGGAATGTTACTCAGACTTTTTACAAATTATGTTGAGGTGCTTATTTTTTGACATGAAAAGATACTTTTTTTAAATGAAATAATTATTTTAGATTTATAGAAGTTATAAAAATAGTAAAGAGAATTCCTATGTATCCCCTACCCAGATTCCTTATTAATAAACTTTGTCATAACTAATGGATCAATATTGATATATTATTGTTAGATTTCCCTACTGTTTTCCTTGTCTCCTTTCTGTCTCAGTAGCCCATCTATGTACTATGTTACACTGAGTTATCTTGTCTCCTTAGACTCCTCCAGAACCTCCGTTTCATAACTTGGACATTTTTGAAATCTACTGGTCAGACTTTCATAGAATGTCCTGTGAATTTTTCTGATATTTCCCTCATGATCAGACTGTGATCGTGTGTTCCTAGGAAGATGAGCACAAGTGTGACGTGTGATTCCTGCCATATCATGTGAGAGGCCTAGACTTTCACAGTGGCTCACTGCTGTTAATGTTAATGTGGATCACCTGGTTGACATAGTGTTTGTCAGGTTTCTCTCTACTGTAAAGTTTCCAGTCCCCCTTCCTACCTTTCTTAGTGCACTCTGGAAGAAGTCGTTATGTTCAAACTACATGTAAGGAGTAGGAAATAAGGCTGTTCCTCCCTGAGGGAGCTCTGTATGGGAGATTTTTCTCCCGCATTGAATTATCTCTTCAGTCATTGTATTTTATTGTGCAGACTTTTGGATATTAGTTATTTTGTACTTTGAGCTATAATCTAGTGGTACGTTATTCTATGTTATTCTTGTTGCTTAAGTTGGACAGGTTTTGCCATTGGGAGCTGTTTCACTTAGTTCCTGGGTCCTTTTTACATCTTCAGCTTTTATTTCTTGAATACTTCCTTTGTAGAGCTGCAAGATGGTTCAGGCTTACCTTGTGTATTCTGTGCCCTGGCACGAAGAGTTCTGCTTCCTTTTTATGGACAGTTATATTCAAAACCAAGATTTGGGCACTGGGCTTGTTTTCCTTCTCAGAATATTTTAAGTGAGAAACGTGGATATGTTGAAAGTATTAAAAGTAGTTCTTATCTGTTTATCAATAAAACTTTGAAAAAAAAATAAATGAAGTTTGCAAAAAAATAAATAAATAAAATTTAAAAATTAAAATTAAATAAATAAATAAATGAAGAAAAAAAAGTAGTTCTTTATATGGTGGGATTATTTTTGGGTTTTTTTCCGTATTTAAAAAATGTACAGTATACTAAAGTATATGATATGGTGAAGTGTGGTAAGAATCACACGTCACACTTGTGCTCATCTTCCTAGGAACACATGATCACAGTCTGATCATGAGGGAAATATCAGAAAAATTCACAGGAATTCACATTCTATAAAAGTTTGACCAGTAGTTCTCAAAATGTCCAAGTCATGAAACGGAGGTTCTGGAGGAGTCTAAGGAGACAAGATAACTCAGTGTAACATAGTACATAGATGGGCTACTGAGACAGAAAGGAGACAAGGAAAATAGGGAAATCTAACAAATTTCCACTAATACTAATGAGAAAAATTACATGTAAATCATACTAAAATTTAATTTAAATTAAAAGCTAGAAATAACATTTTAGTGAAAATTCTATTCAAATATTTTAAAAAATAAATGCTAGAACTATTAGGATTCCACAAAATGTGATTATTCACAGTTAGTGATTATTGAGTATAAAACATTGTGATATTCAGTAGTTGATATTATTAGACTACTTTCACACACTCAGAATTAATGTTTTGAATAATTTTGATGACTTTATTAGCAACATATATAAAAAATTCTTATTGGTTTAATCACACAAAGAAAAATCATGTATTTCATCTTGCATCATTCCTAAAATGACATTTTCCCATGTACTTATATTACTGGGGTGTTTTTTTGTTTTTGTCTTTTCCAATTATTTTATTTACGGTCAAAATGTTTCACTTGTATACTACCAACTTTTGCTAATAAAGTTGGTTTTAAAAATAGCTTAAATTTTACATAGTCAGCGATGTCAATATTTTTCTTTAGTCAGTCTTTCATTTTTAAACATGTTTATGTTGTGTCAATATTTGCTTCTGTACCCTCTTTTTAATTTTTTTTTCCTCCTTTTTTTTTTTTTTTGGCGGAACCGGGGATTGAACTCAGTCCCTTGTGCTTGCTGGGCAAACACTTATTCTACTGAGCTAACTCCCCAGCCCCTCCTCCATCATTAAACCAGCTGGAATTTGTGTTGATGTTTGTTTTGAGGTGGGATTTTAATGTACTTTTGCGTGCCTCCAAATAGAAAACGAATTGTCCAATTGTCAGTTTATGAATAATCATATTCTTTTCCATCAATTTGTCATATTTCCTATACTTATTTATTTACAAATGTATTTTAGTTTTTCTGTATTCATACCATGCTGTATAAACTGATCAGTCTCAATTTGTCCTGAGCTCTTGAGCACTTAATATTTTTATATTACAAGTATGGCAGTACATGCCTGTAATCCTAGCACTTGGGAGGCCGAGGCAGGAGAAGTGCTACAAGTTCAGGCCAGGCTGGGCTACAAAGTGAGCTCAAGGGGGAGCTTACCGGTTAGCTCAGTTGTTTAAAGCACCTGCTTGGGCAAACTCAGTGAGGTACAAGGGACCATGGTTTGATCCCCAGCTCCACGTGCCACACTAGACCCACCCTTAAGGCAGCCGGGAGCCAGCAGGGGAAAAAAAGTGATCAAGGCCATAGTAAAACACTGTCTTGTCTCAGGGGAGAATAGTTTCTTCTCATTGACATAGTTTCTGAAAAATTTGTTTTTACCTATATATTCTTCCGAATGAAATTTAAAATCATTAATTAAATTTTTAAAATTTCTATTGGGATTTATGTTGCTAAGGTATTGAACCCGTAAATTGATATGTTTAAGAATTGGCAACTTTTTTTTTTTTTTTTTTTTTTGGTGGTACCAGGGATCGAACTCAGGACCCTGCACTTAGCAGGCAAGCGCTTATTCTACTGACTGAGTTATCTCCCCTGCCCTGACAACTTTTAAATATATATCTGATTGGTTAGTGTTAGTATATTTAGTCACTTCACAGAACTCTATATTGTTTCCCACGTAATTGCCAAAAGTAACTCTATTTATTTTGTATTTTAGGGAAGAGTCTACAGAGTGTTCAGGGTCTCACTGCTAGATCGAACTCATAGTGATCCACCTGTTTACAGCCTCACAAGAGCTGGAATTACAGGCGCATGCCACCATTCCCAGTCTCAGTAACCCCCAGGGGCAGGGCTGGCACAGCAGGCCCAAGGATCGAATCCACAGCCCCTGCACCTGCTTGCAGGTGCTTTAATCTGTTGAGCTATTTGGCCAGCCCCAAAAGTAACTTTAGATACCACTTCTAGTGATATTTTTATATCTTTTCAGCAGTTATACCTCATTTTTGTTTCTTACGTAAACTGAACTTATGAAATAGTAGTATAAGGCAAAGGAATACTTACGTAAACGATTAAAATTCTTTTCTAATAACCTTTTTTGGTTTTTTGAAATAGGGCCAGGCTTCTAATAACTTATTTTAGAGGTAGTATAAGTATCTTAGATTGTGGTACCAAAAAGTGACTTGCTAGCAACTGATCTTATTTTAGTTCAAAGTTGGTATTACATCATTGTAGCAGTAAACAAGCATATGTTAAGAGAAGTGGCTAAGGTTTGAAGGGCGTGATTGGAGGTAGTTCATGTCCCCTGAATGTTCTTATTTTCTTTCTGTTCTTTCTGCTGTACCCAATGTTGGCTTCTAGGCAGGTCGATTTGGACAGTTAACCTATGTCCGCAGTTACCAGGGAGAGCTGAAGAAGGGTGATACCATCTATAACACGAGGACAGGGAAGAAAGTGCGGGTGCAGCGGCTGGTGCGCATGCATGCTGACATGATGGAGGCAAGTACGCGGGTGCAGTGTGGTCAGGAGCTCCTTCCTGGTACCCTGAACCCCACTAGAACATCACTACTGGTAGCACATACCTGTTTTCCTTAGGTGTGTTACTGTTCTGATTTAACACTTTGGTGTACTCTTAGTTGGCACGTGCTAAAAGCTTATTTCATATTATTGGCTTTAAGTTAGCATTATTTTCATGCTACCTAAGTTTCAAGGAAAAGAAGAGTTCCTAAAGGATTAGCACAAGATTCAGCACTTTTCTCAAGAGTTAAAAAATTTAATAGGCAGTTAGAATAGTAGCACTGTTTTTTAAAGGTAAGTGAAAGTAATAAACCTATGCATAATTTTTCACCTGTTTATCTTGCCAGGGAGATAGCTCAGCAGAATAAGTGCCTGCCTGGTTAGCACAAGGCCCAGAGTTCAATCCTCAGTACGAAAACAAACAAAAACATTAAGATTACATGGTTCTCTGAATTTGCTTTCTTGGAAATGGAAGGTATGAAAGTCCCATGTAACCCTAAAGTTTCTATTCCCATTACATAACCCCTTACGTGGCCACACTGGTACTAGAATCCACATGAAGATTTAAAGATTCCCAAGATGTAGTTTTGAGACTTAAGGCTTGGGTTGCTCTGAATCTGTCCTAGCCTTGTGTAGTCCTTTTTTGTTAGGCCTTTGTAGGAATAACGAATACATGAGGTTGGCTTCACTTCTGTCCTTCTGCAATGCAGCCTTCCATTCCCAGAGCACTTTTCTAGTCTAAGCAAAATGTTACAAATTTTTGGGAACCATAACTTTTGAAAAAAATTATTTTATTTATATTTTTCAAAAGAGAATAAAAACAGTAAAAAAAAACAAAAATTAGAAGCAATACAGAATTTCACTAAATAAAATAATAGGGAGCCGGGAGATAGCTCAGTAGAATAAGTGCCTGCCTGGCAAGTGCAGGGTCCTGAGTTCAATCCTCAGTACCGCAAAAAAAAAAAAAAGATGATAGGAATTCAGCAATGGTTGTCATATTGCATATTGTTGTCTTCAAATTAGTTGTTCACATTACCAGATATAAGCAGGTAAAATTGGTCAACAACAAAAAAAAGAAAAAAGAAATTAAGCATTACCCGTTCCAAAGAGATCAGTAAAAATAAGCAGTACAGTTATCCAAGCTATGTATATTTCCTTTCTTCTTTAGTTCATCTCAGTTGTTCCTTCCCTTTGAATAGTTTAGTTTCTTTCCCTTTCACAGTATCTTGCAGTACCTTGCAGATTTTATTTACTCTTTCAGGTTCTTACACAAGGGAGATAATACAGTGTTTACACATGCAGATCTGATTTATTTCATTTATGAGTATGGTCTTTAGTTGCATCCATTTACCTGTAAAAGCTTTGAGTGTATCTTTTTTATAGCTGAGTAATACTCCATTGTGTAAAAATATCACATCTTTATCCATTCCTCAGTTGATTAGCGTTGGGTTGTTTCCAAGATTTAGCTGTGACAGATTGATCTGCTATACATGTGGCTGCACATACATCGCTGTGGTATGGTGTTTCCATTTCTTCTGGAAAAATACCGAGGGTATTTCTCCCTGTGTCAAGTGGGACCTCTAATCCTAGTTTTTGAGGAATCTCCACACTGATTTTCATAGTGGTTGTGCCAGTATACACTCCCACCAGCAGTAAAGAAGTGTTCCTTTTTGGGAGCCATCACTTTTGTCTGTCTTGGAAAATGAATAGGCAGTCTCAGAATTGAAGAGCTTTGCTGCTTTCTGAGATAGACAGTAGGGGGCAGCCCAGAAGGGCTAATGATTGTCACAGCTGTTTCTTGGGCCAGATGGGTGGAAATGTGTCCGGCTGTTTTACATGAAAGACACACTCATACTACAGCTATTATGAATGAACTGTCAGTGTGAAAGGACAATAACTAGGAAGCTTAGAAGAAGTGCTTTGTTCTTGGCCTTCCTGTGTTTACTTAAGTGTTTGCATCTGTGAGAAATTAGAAATATTTTTAGTACAATGGGCCCCACACAGTCTTCATTTGTTCTTAGAACTCTTGTGCAGTTTTTCCATATGTCATACATGAGTACATTGTGGCAGTAAACACAGTATGCCTTTTAGTCCCGTGAAAATAATTTTAGAACCACAAGGCTCTATATTTTGTCAGTGCTTTACATCCTTCAAGTAGTGAAGCCATAAATTTGAGTTCTTCACTTGAAATAAAACCTCATCTATTGATATGGTGTTTTATGCTATGTTGTAAATGTATATTGCATTTATTGTGAAATTACTTCATGGTCACTGTGTCTTGATATGTATTACTTGCAAGTATCATTTTGTGTTATTTAGGATGTAGAGGAAGTGTATGCTGGAGACATCTGTGCATTGTTTGGCATTGACTGTGCTAGTGGAGACACATTCACAAACAAAGACAGCAGTGGCCTTTCTATGGTAAGCTGTTTAATATCAAAGCTGTTTTTTTACCTGAAGTTTAAAAGTCTGGTTTTATGTAGTACATGTAATACTTCAGTAGAACAACTACAGGACTGAGGATGTGGTCAGTGGTAGTGTTCATGCTTTGCATGCACAAGGCCCTGGGGTCCATCACCAGCACCACATACACACAAAAACTACAACTACAGAAGTTTCATGGAGTGCCACAGGCATCAAGGTCATTGAGGTTCTTCTTTGTATAAGCTAACTTACCTATTCTTTGAGTAAAATTCCACAATCTTTTAAAGATTAATGTGGAAGAAAAATTTCTAGAGGTAACATGGACTGTGTAGCTCTGACTCCTCCACCCTGAATGCTGCCTCCCTAATGAGAGAGCCTCTCTTACTTATTGCTACTACCATAGGACTAGTTCCAGTGGAAGGCTACTTTCTCATTAATGTAACAGAGAGTAGTCCATTCCCTCAAACACCTGGAGAACTTTGAGGCTAGAAAGTAGCATTTAGACTAGACTGGGGAATGACAGAACAGCCATGCAGACAGCTGCCTTTTGGAATTCAGAGGTCTTGTTTTCTGATGGAAGGATAGTGAGAGAAGAGCATGCTCAGGCAGTTCCTTCTTTTGAATTTCTTTTGTTAATTTGGCCTTTATGGGTCTACAGAAGAGCAGGCTCTCCTGCATATACCATGATCATTTGTCAACAAATGTAGCCTCATCTAAATTCAATAGAGAAAGAAGGCATACATAGGCGATGAAGTCTTTAGATTATTTATGTGAGAACTGGGCTATCTCTTCACAGATGAACACTGTAATGGTGTCTGCATCATATGATGAATTTGTAATTTTATAATGTTTTTGGTATAAAATATTCTCTTAATTGGGGATAGCCTGTTTAAAACATCTCAAAAATCTATATAATTGTTGAGATCTAGAAACATTTTCTGTCATTAATAAAAGTCATATCTAAATATTCTGTCATTTGCAATGTGACATGAGTGGTTGTGGGAAGAGCACACTTGGCCCTTAGCTAAATTATCTTCTTTCTACATGGTATTATTTGTAAAATAGAGATAACTGCTTCTTAGAACTGTGACTGATCAAATAAGGTATCTATGTAAATAAGGTGTCATCTGAGTAAAGATTCTTTTTTTTTTTTTTCAGTACTGGGGATTGAACTCAGGACCCTGTGCTTGATTGCTAGGCAGGCACTTATTCTGCTGAGCTCTCTCCCTGGCCCCTGAGTAAAGATTCTATATAACCCTTTGGATTTCCATTAGCATTGTATATTTTGGTTAAATGAGGTAACTTAGTTCAGTAGAAAGTGTAGTCACAAGGCAATAAGAATTCCATATGTCAGCATTTGGATTCATTGTACTGTCTATACTGTATAGTTAAATAAATAAATTTGTTTTGGGAGAGATGTCAGCAGATGCGTTTATTTACTTTACAGTAACTTATTTAAAGCAAAACTGATCCAAGTAGGTATTATCTAGCTTAAGGATGTTGACTAGTATTTGCCCTTGTTCTGTAGCGAAGTTGCACACTCCACTTATTCATCCATGACCCTTATAATACTGTTTTTAATTCTTTTATAAAAATATTTTAGGAGTCAATTCATGTTCCTGATCCTGTCATTTCAGTAGCAATGAAGCCTTCTAACAAGGTAGGCATTTAAAGTTGAGGTGATCATGATAAAAACTTGAGCTTTTTTCATCTGTCTCTCACATGCATATCTTGTAACCAGCCATTTTTGTGGTCTCTATTTCCCCTTTTTGGTGTTGAGATTGCTTTTTAAATTTGCTAGTCCATTCTAAATAATAATAATTATTATTATTATTATTATTATTATTATTATTATTTTATTTATTTTGGTTGGTTTTTTTTTTTGGTAGTACCAGAGATCAGACTCAGGACCTTGCGCTTGCCAGGCAAGCACTTATTCCACTGAGCTATCTCCCCAACCCCCCAATAATTACTGAGTATAGTTAAATAACATAATTTGTTTTAATAATCACCAGAGTATAATTTATAGTTGTTTCCTATATTACTGGTTCCAGAATAAGGGAATCTTTATGATTTCTTAAAATACTGAAGAAGACAGAAACAGAAATGTTTGTCTTAAATTATAATGAAACCGCACTATAAAGCATTCATGATGTTACATAGATTGTCTCATGGTTTATAATGTATGTTGAGATTTTGTGGAAGTTTTAAAGTAAGAGAGTATCACATCAGGAGACTAGGTAAGATTATCTCACTTCCAAATACAACTTTATAATTTTTGTTGTTTCTTTTTTCTATTTTTTTTTATTTTTCTTTTTCTTTCTTCAGTAGTAGAGCTTGAACCCAGGATCTGATGTGTGCTAGGTACTGCTGTACCACTGAGCTATATCCCCAGCCTCCACTGCTCCATACACATTTATTTTTAAGTTTTATTTTCAGATAGACTTTGGCTGTGTTATCTAGGCTACTCTTGAGATATCCTCCTGCCTTTGCCTTGCTAAATAGTTGGGATTATAGGCATGTGCTACCCCTCCTGGCTAATTTTGTTTTATAATTTTATAATTGGGTTTGGTATCATTTAATATTTTACAAAGCCAAAATTGCTTGAATATTTTACATTAGCATTGCTTGCCTTTGGAATTAATCTTATTTTAAGCCATACAGTTCCTAAATTGCCTTAGCATTCATAAGTCATGTTTTCTTGGAATTTACTTATTCACACATTGAGTGAACTTTTTATGACTTTTAGTAACTGATTAGAGAACAGAGCATACTCTGATGTCTGTGTTATGAGAGATACATTGTAACAGCTACTACTTCATCTGTTTCAAGGAACCTTGAGGTTTTCCAGGCCTTTTCTCAGTAATGTGTCTTTATGACTTTAGTTCCTGGGACCCAATACTGACACCTACTACTTAAAAGAGAGGAAATTAATTTTGGCTCATAGTCATAGAGTTTTTACTACATACTCAACTGGATCCAAGGCAGAGCAGCATGGCAGAGGACAAATAGTTCGTGGATGGCAGTGGGAAGCGAAGAGAGATCAAGGGAAGAGGAAAGGAGCTAGAGCATTCCAGGCTACACCCCTGTTAACCCCCTGCCCCACCCAGGCTTCACCTCCCAAGTTCTATTTAGCTATAAACTCATCAGTGTAACAAACCACTGTTGAGTATTATACCCTCACAATCCAGTCACCTCCTGAAAGACCCACCTATGAGCTCATAAAGCTTTGGTGGGGGGTATCTAGATATGCACTGAAACTGTATAAAAAGGAAAAGCTGGGTTGACAAGAAATATTAAATCATTTAATCTTCTTAGAAACTTGAAGAGTGAACCTTGCATGTCACTTTAGTAAAGTGCAATCAATAGTTATTCCGAGTGCTTTGCTAAGATTGCTTGCTTTTCCCTTTAGAAATATGCAGGGTTATATGGGCGTGCTTGTATATACCTGTAATCCCAGCACTCGGAAGGCTGAGGCAGGAGGAGTGCTATGAGTTGCAGACCAACCTTTGGGCTATGAAGAGAGTTTAAAGCCAACTTGAACTACATAGTGAGCCCTGTCTCAGAAAACTCAAAACAAAAGAAATAATGCAGGCTTAGAAATTAAAAGTGTTAATGCCTTTCATTCCCAGAGTGTATGTAAGACATTTAACTGCTAATAAATTACAGTAATGAAGGGAAATGAAATGCATCAATAACCCAAAAGATTGTTTAGTACCTCTGGATTGTTTATACATTAAAAAGTTTAAAAGTGTCTGCTTGCTAAAATAAATTAACTTAAATAATGAAGTATCTGCATAAAGTTGAGTCTCAATAGTGGTGTGAGGGATGATGTCCAGTGTAGAAAGAAGTTCTGCCCTTGTCATGCATTAGTCGTGTGCCCTTGAGCAAGTTACTTAACCTTTCTGTGCATGGTTTCTGCATCTCTAAAAGATGGATAATTCTGTCTTGCAGCATTGTGATTAGGTTTGGGATAATATGTGTAAAATACATTACTATAGCTCTCAGCATCTGTAGATGATGCCTGTTAGTATTGGTGATGCAGGGTATGTTAGTTTGCTATTTCTACTGTAAGAAATGATCACAAACTTAATGACTTAAAACAACAGGAAAGTATTTTATAATTCTGTAGATTCTGGCTCTCAGTGGGCTAAATTAATCAGGCAGCTTCATGTTTTGTTCTGGAAGTTCTGGGGAAGAATTTCTTTGGTTTGGCTCAGGTCCTCTACCTCCCATCTTTTAATGGTAGCAACAGTGGGTTGAGCCTCTCTCAAACTTTAGAGCTCTTCTTTTTCCATCACTGCATCTTTCCCACCCACCCCCATTTCTCTTCCCCTTCCCCTTCTCTTCCCCTTTCCCTTTTTAAAGGCACACATGATAACACAGGGCCCAGCCAGATACTCTCCCTGTCTTAAGATCTGTAACTCTGATTATATGTGCAGTATATCCTTTACCATATAAAGTAAAATATTTATAAGTTAGCTGGTCTTAGGGCATTTGTGGAGGACTCCTCTTTTGCGTAGCATGCGAAATTACATTGAAAGAATCAAGGTGCATCATATGTCCATTTACACATGAGAAGTCTCAGTGTGATATTTGCCTTACTGTTGGACTGAATAGGTAGTTAATGCTTTTGAATGTATGAACAAATCTTGGTAAACATGCTGATTCTTTTGATTATATTTATTAAAACATTTCAAAAAAGCAGAACAGGTTCCCCTTGCCACATAATAGACTCTTTTGCACTACTAGACAGCTTTTGTCAGTGTAAGAGGGCAGCTTATAAAATGTTTTCTGTGTTGCTACGGAGAGAAAATTTATTCATATAGCTATCCCCTGCTCTCTTGGCTGTGTGGCTTCCAGACTTATTTTTCAAAAAAATGTTTGAAGTAGAACAAAGTGTGTATCATCTTTATGTCTCAATTGCTGATGATTTGATTTCATTCAGAAGTATCAGTGCCTACCATATTTAGGAAAACATGACTTTTCTTCTCTTAAAGAATGATCTGGACAAATTTTCAAAAGGTATTGGCAGGTTTACAAGAGAAGATCCCACATTTAAGGTCCACTTTGACTCAGAAAGCAAAGAGACAATTGTATCTGGAATGGGAGAACTACACCTTGAAATCTATGCTCAGGTAATGGATAACAAAGAAGTTGAATTAAATTTATCACTGTGTGTTTCTTTCTTTCTTTTTTTTTTGGCAGAACTGGGGATTAAACTCAGAACCTTGCGCTTGCCAGAGAAGCGCTTTTTCCATTGAGCCATCTCCCCGGCCCCAAAGCATAACCTATAGCTCTTTTTTTTTTTGATTGTAAGATGAATTTTTATTTCAGAGATTAAAATGGGAAAAATGCCTTAGAATTAATTAATATAAATAAAAATACATATGCACAGAATATTATCAATTATAAGTATACATTCAAATACACATTGCCTCTGGAGTGCAGGGGTGAGGTGGGTGTGGTGCATGGTGATAAGAAGTTACAAACCAACAAATGAACAAGTTTTTTTAGAAGGATTTTTTTTGGTGGGGGTGCTGGCTCAGAAAGGCTTCAGGGCAGGTTTGGCTGGCTTGAGTTCTGGGGATCGAACCACAGCAAACTGAGCCTGGCTGCTTTGTTTAAGCAGGCACTTAAAAAACTGAGCTAAGGGACAGGCCCCCCTATAGCTCTTTTTTTTACAATCCTTTTTTTTTTTTTTTTTTTTTGGCGGAACAGGGGATTGAACCCAGGCCCTTGCGCTTACCAGGCAAGCACTTATTCTACTGAGCCATCTCCCAGCCCTTGTGTGTTTCTTTAGGAGTAAAAGTTGGTGATGATGCTCAGTGTAATGGATGTAAGCAGAGGTTCTGCAGGCTGTACTATGGTTCATATTCACATGTCATGTGCTGCCTTCTCTGCTGTGTTACACATTACTGTTGGCCACTAAGTTTTTTATTTGTTAAACATTGTGGACTCCTAGAACCATCTGTCAGAAGATTTGCAATAAGACTGACCACCCATCCATGCCCAGATCATGGTTAATTGGGTGACGTAAATCCCAGTTCCAGTCCTAGAGTGACAGTCTGCAGTCATACCCATTCTTTGGGTAATTTCTTTCCTTTTTTTTTTTTTTTTTTTTTTGTACTGGGGATCAAACTCAGGACCTTGCACTTGCCAGGCAGGTGCTTATGCCGCTGAGACATGTCAATTCTTGAAGTCCATTGTAATATAGATAAAAGAAAAGGTGTTCTTAGGAAAGATCATATATGTGTATATGCATGTGTATGTATATAAATGAAATCTAGGTGTGACTGGTAATTGTGCCATGATCATTATCTGTGCAGTGGAGAAGAAATTCTGACAATTGATACATTATTCCACTGAATGTAATAGTGTACAGTGGTGAAGTTTTAGTGGGTAGATTATTTGGTGATAAGTATATATTATATAGTCTAAATTGGGTTTCATGGGTCTAAAATTCTGTAAAGTCATTGTATTTTGAAATAGCACACATCTAATCCTTATGAAATAACTAAAATAGTTTATGATTTAGTGTTTGCTTAAGTTAATGCTGCTAAGGTATTTAAAATGCTTAGGATTTTTTTCTTTCAGTTTATTTTTTTAAAAATTAAAAATTATTGCTCTCATTCTTTTTAGAGACTGGAAAGAGAATATGGCTGTCCTTGTATCACAGGAAAGCCAAAAGTTGCCTTTAGAGAGACTATTACTGCTCCTGTCCCGTAAGTATGCAACATAATTAGACTTTATGAGACTGAAATTAGAACTTTATTATGGGGTACACATAGCATTATTACTATTGTAAAGATATTTTTACATAGAGACATCTTTTATTATGACTATATATAGTTGCATAAGGTACATAAGACATTGTACAAGGTGACACTGAGGGATTTGTGTGGCCCCTTAGACTAGACACCAATGAAGACTGGCATATACATCTTCCAGAGGCATGGTTAGGTGTCATCTCCATGCAGGGTCTTTGTTTATTCCAGAGTTACTTCTTTTGGGAGACGGTTACTATTCTTTACTTTAGTACCATAATGTGGATGCCAAAGAACTTGCATTTGCCAAGGAATAATCTCCTGCAAGTTAAAACCCAACAAACAAAAACTAATGCCATGATAAAATTCAGAAAACAAAATAATTCAGTTTATATTTTGTGGAAGACAAAAGTCTTCATAAAGAATAGCATAAAAAATTTAAACTGCTATAATATACTGCACCCTGGTGCCTCATAAATTTACATAAATTTTGATTTATAGTCAGAATTAATAAAGCATCCTGTGGCTTTAAAATGGCATCAAATGAAGGTAAATTATACTTTACCTGCGAAGCAATGTCATGAAGTAGAATGGTATAGTCCAATTCAATAAAGTCATCATTTCTTTGCTATGACAAAAAATAAAAACCTGGTGTTTAAAACAGGATCATTGGCAAAATATATATATTTTTAAAATTAGCTTTAACTAATATATAATTATAACATACCCATTTCAGTGCCATATTGTACTTCACTTTAGCTTAACAGAAAAAACTACTGGTATTCTCTCATATTAAAGAAGTATTCTTGGGGCCGGGGAGATAGCTCAGTAGAATAAGTGCTTGCCTGGCAAGCACAAGGGCCTGAGTTTAATCCCTGGTTCCGCAAAAAGAGAAAAAAAAAAAAAAAAAGAAGTATTCTTGGGCCAGCCAAATAGCTCAGCGGGTTAAAGCTCCTCCAAGCAGGTGCAGGGGCCGGGGGTTGATCCTCAGGTCTGCCGTGCCTGCCCCACCCCTGGGGCGCACTGAGAGGGCAGTTGAAACTGGGCATGGTGGCGTAATGCCTGTAATCCCAGCTCTTGGGAGGCTATAAACAGGTGGATCATTACAAGTCCGTTCTACTAGTGAGACCCTGAACACCCTGTAGACCCTTCCTTAAGATTTAAAAAAAAAAAAAGTATTTTTCAAGGCAGGTGTGGTGGTCCACACCTGTAATCCCTGCACTCAGCAGGCTGAGGCGCAAGGATCACAAGTTCAAGGCCAACCTGGACTACATAGTGAGTTCAAAGCCAAAAACAAACTACATTTTAGAATCATGATTTTATATTTGTTATTAATATATTTGACTTTATATCTATTTTTAAGGTATAGTAGCTACTTAGCATTATTTTATGTAGCTTGTACTTAAGAATAATTAATATTTCCTTTGTTGAGAAAATAATAAACTATTGCTGGGTGTGGTAGCACATGCCTGGGATCCCAGCTGTAAGGGAGACTAAGGTAGAAGGATTCTATGTTAGAGGTCAGACTGGGTAATTTGACAATATTCTGTCTTTAAAAAAAATAGAAAAGGGGGTGGCTGGGGAGATAGCTCAGTTGAATAAGTGCTTGCCTGGCAAGCACAAGGGCCTGAGTTCAGTCCCTGGCTTTGCAAAAAAAAAAAAAAAAAAAAAATCAAGTAGCAAGTGTTCCCTGGAGTTCTTTGGAGCTGGGGAGATAATTCAATGGACTAAGTGCTTGCCTGGAAAGCACAAGGTCCTGAGTTTGATCCCTGGTACTGCCAAAAAAAGAAAAAAAAAATTGGGGGGCCGGGGTAATGGCTCAGTAGAATAAGCGCTTTCCTGGCAAGTGTAAGGGCCTGAGTTCAATCCCCAGTTCTACCAATTAAAAAAAAGGGGTTAGGAGTGAAGCTCAGAGGTGGAGTGCTTGCCTGTGTGCTCAAAGACTTAAGTTACATCCCCACTACTGCCAAAAACAACAAAGAAACTATAGCAAGGAGTATTTAGATTAAAAGAAACCATTTGGGTACTAGAAATTCTCAGAAAAGAGAAAATAGTAGAATATAATGACTATAGTCTGATGTTTTAATTAAAGCTTTGTTCTATGCTGTGTATTATTTGGGGACCAAAAATATGCTGCCAGCTACACAGAAAGACTTACCTTTATAGCTTAAAACCATCATCCTCAGAGACTTTTTCTACAAAACACTCCTTAAGATGTTTCATTGGTATGAAGAGACAAACCCGAGACTCCAACCAGCTCAAACTATGGGGGTCCTTTGGTTAATAGTGATTACACATGTGGCTCCAGGGTCACACAAAAGCATGTCTTTCTCTTTACAGTATCTTGAAGTAATCTTTTCTCTGAATATATTAACAAAGAATGACCTGTAGAGATACTGTGTACATGTATAAAAGTTCTTACATCCAGATGTTAATGGATAAAGAGATATAATGCATATAAAGTTAAGACCAAGGAGTTTAACCCTTCTATTGAGATTTTCATTAATACTTTTTAAAAAAATCACAATTTGGTGAAAGGGTACATAGAGAAATCAGAATTATGATTTTATGACCTCTGTACCTAGTCTCAGTTGTTGAAGTTGCAGTACCCGAAAGAAATATTATAACCTAGGTTATTGTCTATGAAATACGTTAGGAAAAAAATCTCACTGTTTCTGAAAATGTAATACTTAGTTTAGGTTTTGGTATTATACTCTTAAGTCCTATAATTGGGCATCCTGACCTCCAGTGAAAGTAGATGTGTAATAAATAATTTCAAAAGCCTTTGGAGAAAGGGTTATAAAAGAAAATTAACATACAGCAATCTGAGGAATAAGTAGAACTGTTTGAGAGACCATACAGCACATTTCACAAAGAGGGCCACACTAGTGGTAACCCCTGGGGGAAAACGCCAGCCATATATCTAAGTAGGTATGGCACAACTCTTGAGAATAAAAGCAGAGAGTGTCAACATTATGTGACAAGAGTGGTTTGACCACAAAATTTAGGTCGCTAAAGGTAATTATATTAAGCTGAGCATAAAAACTAAAAATTGTAACTTGGCTTTCTTGAAAATACAGCTTTGCTAGTGATGGCTATAAAGAAAAGAGCTCTGGGGACATTTGTATACCACCTCAGAGGCCAAGAAAATCATTTACAGATAAAGAATATATACTTGGGATTCTGTCATACTTCTATTAATAGTCACTAAGCTTTTGCTGTAGAAGAGGGTTTGAGTGAGTCCACTTAATTTCACCAGCCTAACATGAGAAGCTTAAAAACCATCATTACCATATTTTCCCTTTGAAAGTATAATCAGTAATTAGATATCCTGTCTTCCAGTGAAAGGTGTGTAAGGAGGTCTGTAGTTGTCATCTTTTAGCCAAATCAAGTGACTTTTTGGACAAGCTGTTGTTCTTTGGTCTCTTCCTTCAACTCCTCATCTTCTCTAGTTTTT